GTATTTTTATGTCTAATTGGATCTTATTTAGCCCTGAGATCATTATTGCGTTCACTCATTGTCAGTCAAGCCAGGCCGAAACTCCAGCCTATAAAAACCACGGCATGCTGGTGGTGAAGAATCCAAAGTAAACTCTGTCTCACAGCGCACCCAAGAGGCAGGACATCTGCCCTCTCAGTACCACATTCGGGTTTCAAAGAGTAATAACAACCAAAAGCTTATGATAAATATACTGATAACTAACCCCTATTCATCTGTGCATGTAACGGAGGGAGATCATACCAGATAAACTCACCCATAGCTTGAAATGGCGACATTGAATCGGATCCGGGTTAGGGCTCCACTGTAACTGGCATTACTGTGTGTCACACATGCTACAAAAGTGAGAATCATAACAAAGAGAGAAGTGTGAAGTAAAGTGTATAAAGAGAAGGTAGAGATTCAGTGGCGGCCCGTCATTCAGGGCAGGTGGGGCAGACTGTTTTGAGCCGCACATTTCTAGCAAAAATTGATAAATAATTTGGGCTTGCCTGTTTTTTTGGGCATAATTACGTGTCACATATCAGTTTGCAAAGAATGTAAAAAAAAACATACATCGAGTTAATAAAGCCGCATACAAACATGGTCTCTTTTTGTTTTCTTGAGTAAGGCATCTCCAAAATGCAGGTGTTTCAGCCTAGCTCAGTGCTTTCTGTGGTGGTGGGGCAAGCCAGCAGAAAATACAGAGCGTTGCGCCATGATTGGCTCAGTGTTCTGTCACACATGGGGACACTAGGTCACCGTGAAGTCTAAGGGTAGACCTAGAAAATTCAAGCCCCTTGGGTGCTGCCATAGTTACATTAGAAGTGCCCTTCCAAGAAGGCTCAAGGTCATTGGCCACAGATAAAATCAGTAGCTTTGATTGGACTGATCATGTCAACATCATACATTCAAATTCTTAGCTAGCAGTCATCATCATGAATCAAGTCGACAATCTACTGATAAATCCTTTTTAATCCTTGTCATATGAAGAGAAATTATGAAGAGAAAATATAGATAAAACGTATTGGTGCTCATCGGCCATTGGACATAAACATTACACTACATGTTGGAAATCGCAAATTCAAGTGGTTTGGAAGGAATCGGTGGCGAACTGCAAGCATTGCAAAGCAATCACTAGCCTGATATTCAGTGGAGTGACTGTGTGGTACCAAATCTGGGATTAAGGGGCTCTTTTCCAAGTTTAAAATGATAAACATTCAACATTGGCCATGCTGTCAATGAAGCATGATTTGTGCCGTGCTCAAAACAACTGTTAACTCGGAACTGCTAAAAACGTGACTTCCAGTGAGTTCAAGACAACTGGGAAGTCGGGAATAAACGAGCTCCGACTGGGAAAATACGTTTTGAACGGTCATCCAACTCAGAATTGTAAATCCGGCCTCTTTCTCTTTCTTTGATGACAAAATTTGCCCACGAAGGACCGCAGTGCCACCTTCATGTTCAAATGAGCACAGCACAACAAGGTGAGTCAAAACATTATTGTATGCTGCTGCATAAATGATGTAATATGCCAGGGAGATATGTATTCTGTAGCTAAGAAAGTAATACTAAGTGTATGTTGTGTAGTAAGATGTTAGTAGCCCATGTGCCTCACCCTAATAATTTGGTCTATTTACCCCTCTTAAATGTTGCCTACTGTTCTGACTTGGTGGTGCACATGTAGCCTGTAACCTGTTTTAGAGAAATGTAATCAAATATTGTAAGAGCTTTCATTGTCTGCTTATATGCCCCCTTTATTTTTTATCCTACAGTTCTGACTTGGTGTACAGGGAGAACACTGTAAGAACAGCCCATGCTCGGAATTCTGTCGCTGTACATTTCAAAAGTGCTAAACAAATAGTTATATTGACTACATCCGTCCTAGCTCGCTCATTAATGTCTTAATCGAAATTACGGATTGCCTCTTATCCGCTTGTCGTCCCCTTATGCCATAGTTTGTACATCTCAATTGTCATTAGAATCCACATTTGTTTAAGCAAGTCAGGCATGTCAGCTATGTTTTTTTAAAGGCAGTAAATGAGGCTGAATTAACTATTTCGCTGCCAGACAAGGCTCCGCTGATAGCCAGGTGTAGCATTGGTAAGCTGTTGGGACTGCTGTTGGGACAGCTTTATGTAGGCCCTACCAGTTTGTGGGCACCGTTTGTCACCGTTATAGTGCAATTAATGTATTGTTTAGTGTTGTGTTATGTAGTGTAGTGTAGTGGCTTTGCTGGCATGCATCCCACTTGTTTTATTACCAAGATTTAGATGCTGAAATCGCCACTGTAGAGATTCAGCATTGATTATAGGGATAGGGTTTCTGGGACAACATAAGAGAAAGGAGGCAGTCAGTGTGTGTGCGTGTGTCCCGACTTCATACAGTATAGGCCTACTGCCACCAAGTGGTTGTTGTGTTAATTCACAGCTGGGCAGGGTGTCTGACGTTTCCATCTCACACCTGACTCGTTTACTATTTGGAAAGCATGAAATTGAAGGAAAAAGTCTGCAGTGCACCCCAGAATATGAAGCTAGCTACAACTAGAAGTTGCCCTCTTGCTAATTAAAGATAGTGTTGTAGTTACACATAATGCAGATGCTTAGATGATGTATGGTGTAGTTTCTTCCAATCCTCCTGTGACCTTGCATTGAGGAACAAGATTTTCACAGAATGATTGTTGCAGTCATAAGAATGTATAATAGCATCATGTGATACCATTACAGAGAAGTTCTTCTAGCCTTCCTCCATTTTGATGTACACTCAAAGATCGTGGATAAATGAAGATGTCCTACTCAGGCAGTTTACCAGTGGAGGTGTCATAATACCCATCAACCTAGCGGTCAAACAGGGAAATTATTCCAATCATTTATCCACCATAAATTTTTCCCATAGGGGATTTTAGAAACACTTAAAATAAGGGCTGTGTTTCATGTAGGCTTACCATGGCCTGACATTTTGATAACCATATAAATCTCTCTCAAACAAGGTGACTTTTATCAATATTTTCGGCTCTATGTACTCTCAGATTCGATAATGCTAATTAGTATCAAAGTAGACTACAAATCCCTGCATCTCTAGCTGACACCTTTGCTAACATGTATTGTGTCAATTTAAAACTTGCACAAGACAGTTCACAGAATTGTCCAATTATAGAAATGTTGCCAATTTATTAATTACGACATTTATCTACCATTAGATAGTTAATCCAGAGAATCTGACCTTTTCCTCGATTCGGCAGTCTCGTCCAGATCATAATAATAATAATAATATGCCATTTAGCAGACGCTTTTATCCAAAGCGACTTACAGTCATGCGTGCATACATTTTTGTGTATGGGTGGTCCCGGGGATCGAACCCACTACCTTGGCGTTACAAGCGCCGTGCTCTACCAGCTGAGCTACAGATCATCATGGCATTTGTCGTTTTTTATGATAGCCACATTAGCAGCTAATTAGCATTTCCTTTTTGGGGTGTAAATACATGCGAATATATTAATAAGTCACCTTGTCCTAGAGAGATTTACACGGTTATCAAAACGTCACGCCAGGGAAAGCCTACACAAAACTTCATCCCTTATTTTAAGTGTTTCTAAAAAAACCCTATGGGGAAAAATGAATGGAGAAAAAACAATTGGATCCATTTCCCTGTTTGACCGCTAGGTTTTATGGGTATTATGACTCAAACTGTGGTACAGGGCTCAGACTGTTTTCTTGGTTGTGGCTATGGAACATAGAGATAGGTAGAGGACTCAGCTTTATATCTGACAACAACATTCATAGGAATCCCCACCCAGTTGACTAATTTGACTACTTTAAAATGGTGGAAGCCCTCAATGGCGCTGCCCATGCTAAAATTGCCTTTTGGCCACTAGAGGCCTCTAATATTCCATCTCTGGGACACTGCAGTGGCAGTGTACATTTTCTGTCTGCACACTTCCATCTTCACTGCTTCAGGAAATCTCTGCTGCAAGTGAAGGGACGTGAATTCAGGAGTGAAATATCAATGGATAGCTTGAAACTTATAATACACTTGAGATGAACTACCGAGAACGAAGAAACAAATATGAGTTAAAACGTCAAATATCAAACGAATGGGCTGCTAAGAAACTCAAGTAAGTTGCATTCTGAAGCAATCTAGCTAGCAGTTAGCCTAATTAAGCTAACTTGCAAATGATGCCTACACTGGCAGGCTAACCCAGCTTGCTAGCTCGCTTCAGATCCTGTAGTTAGCTAACATGACATCCATTAACATTAGCCAAACATGATAGCCATGATGAACTCGAGCCATGTATGCTATAGCTGAGATTCATAGTTAACTTTACGTTTGGTAAGGATGTATCATAACCATGCTTTATTTCAAGATAGCTAGCTAGTTGAGCTGTTGTGTATGGAGCTAACTAGTTATTATTTTGCAGGGCCGCCACAATGGCTTTAAGTTTGTATGCTAATTGCTTAACAAGCTAACGTTAGTTTGTCAGTTTGCTGCATAACGTTAGTCAACTAAGTTAATTGTTATGCTAACTATTGGTTTATCTGACCTAGCTACCGATGACCAGATTTATTTTGAGATTTCACCCTATTGGATGATTTACAGCGATCTACAGTCAGCTAGTTTACATTCCACAGCAACACTGACCCAACGTTAGCTCTCTGCTAGCTAGTTAGATAGGCACACTTGCTAACGAAGTGAAGACGTCATCAATAACAATGTCACATGAGCCAAGCATGTTTAAATGTATTAGATGGCACGCTAACTAGCTACGTGGTTTTAAAAACATATCTATTTTATTGCAAGGGAAGCAATCAAATCGAAGGGAACCACTTCTACCTAGCTAACTGTGCTAGTTGACAAATTCATGCTAGATAACATTATCTCTAGATGACTCTGAAACATGTTTTTCTGCGTTGTTACAGGTGGTGACTGAGTTTTTGTGTATCTGAGACCCCAGGCCATCCACAAGACTTGTTGAGTGGGTCAGGATGCCGATCCCCCCACCCCCCTGTGCCCCCCCTCCACCCCCTACCTTCAGCCAAGTAAGAACTTATTCTAGCATGCAAGGTGTCACCTGGATACAAAATGTGTTCCCTGTGCAATTGTGTGGATCTGAGAACCATATCAGTAGGCCTAGCTCCAAACCATGATGTAGCCTAGCTCCAGGTTAGCTCATATTAATTAGTTGTTCAACCAGCTTGACAGCTCGTAGGTCCCTTTTTCAAAGGGATTTATATGCACTGGTGTTGTGAAGCTGAATTTGTTTCACCTTGTGCAGAGAGCACACTACTGAAATAAGCTCTCCTCGTGGCCTGTGATAGTATGTGCTATCCTCTCCCTGCCAAGCCCAACCAGAGGCTGTGTCTCAAATGGCACCCTATTCCCTTATAGTGCACTCTGGTCAAAAGTAGTGCACTATATAAGGAATAGGGTGCCATTCGGGACGTGACCAGAGCGCTTCTGGTTTATTCAAGTGATTAACGCTGCTCGCTCAAGTAATCATCCTCAAATTTTTTACACATGAAGTAATTCACATAATGAGCAGTGGACCGACCAGGCCTCTGCAGACAGGGCTGCATAATGCTATGGATTTATGCAATGGACAACTAATTAATTACTTGATGTAAAGGACTCACAAAATATAAATCTTATTCAAATTAATTGTGCTATAGCCCCTATCAAGAACACCTTCTACCTGGCTAATTCCCTTGCACCAACTGTGACAAGGCTTTCTGCAAGCTGTTACCTGTCAGGTTATGTATAATCTCGGTTAGTTACTGGCATGTCTATGGGCCCAAATGTCCCCTCCCCATCCCAAATTGGAAAGACGCCTGTGAAATCGTGATTTGTCCAAAGCACCTGAACTAATGCTGCTTGTAATCTCACGCATCCTGTTGTATCAAACCAGATCTACTGTACCGTTAAGTGTGCTGTGTTGAGCTAACTAGAGGACAAGCGCTCTCTCTTCCCCTCGCAGGCCAACACCACCCCACCCAAGCTGAACCGAGATGAGGCCAAAGGCAGAGGAGCCCTGCTCGGTGACATCCACAAAGGGGCCAAGCTGAAGAAGGTCGGCGTGGTCAATGACAGGAGCGCACCCATCTTAGAAAGTAAGGCCACAGCCCCACTAAGGTTCACCCTTGTGTCTCAGATCTACTATTCTGGTAGTGTTTTACTAACTGATCTGATTGGATGGAAGTAAGGACAGAACCGATGAGGCTAGGGTAGTGCATGGAGCACACTCACTGGGGGTCAAGGTTTATTTCACAGGAGTGAAATGGGAGATCATAAGGGTAATTATACATATAATAGGTTACTATTGTAATGTATGTCATTTAACCTTGTTTTCTTGCCTGTCCAGAGCCTAAAGGAGGTGGTGGTGGTGGTGGTAGTAGTAATGGAGGTGGAGGAGGCTCATCAGGGTCCATTCAGCCAATGGGAGGTCTTTTCCAGGCAGGTGTGCCTAAATTACGACCAGTCGGAGGCAAGTATTTAATATCTTAACTGTTAATAGTAATGGTGTCACTAACAAAGATTCCACCCAGAAATCTGGGCTGCTGAAGGAGTGGTCTGTCAAACTGATTGTTACGGATATAGGTATCCTGTATTTGTTTTTCCTCTCCTTCAGCCCTAATCACAGGTGTCCCTTGTTTTCCTGATTGGTGGTCGTTGGGGTGTCCCAACTGTCCGACATCCGTTCGTCTGCTGATTACACTCCTCCGTATTGCACCACCTGTTTCTGGTTTTCATTACCATATCACATCACACATCCCCTGGTTTTAAAGACAGTCAGTTGTGTTTTCTGACAGATACTATTTTTCTCTGAGTATGGATACTGTGGTGTGTTATTTTTGGTGTACTCACATGTTTGCTGTCTAGTCCATATTGGACCTATGTTTTTTGTTTGTGCTTGGGAAAAGGGGTGTTTAGACAAGGTTTTCTTACGGGCCTCTTCTCCATCCAGCCTAGACTTTTAAAGCCACGGGGTTCGTAACACTGATATTGAAAAAGCAGGTTTAAAACTGGAATTTAATTCCCTTCAATTATATTTATTGCTGACAAGTTTGGGAGTAAGCTTCTTCGTCAAGGCGCTATTGCAATAGGTGAAAAATTAGCACTGGTCTTTGACTGCGTAGGTAGGGCAGCCCGTCAGGTTTCAGTGTTGTCATTGGGCAGGGCTGTAATAGATCTGACACAGGCACGGCTGAAGGAGATTTGCTGATTCACAATAATGTGTTCCCTAACCTGCACGTCTGCGTTAGTCTTACCATCTGTCAGGGAGAAAATATTCAAACATGAATTATGATTAATAAAACAACCTAATGATACATTTCTGTGCTGAGAAATGTCCTCATGTTTCTCTGTCCATGTATAAATGAATCTTCATATAAATTGCTGATGACGTGATTGTAATTTTTTTGTGCAGATGGTTCGGTTGGCAGGTCAGCCTTGACGCCTCCTGGCACGCGCCCCGCTGCTCCTCGTCCCCCCGGACCCCCTGTTCGCCAGGACAACACAGACTGCTCAGCCCAGCAGGCCTCTCCCCCGGAGCACTCCCGCTCCCAGAGGCCCTCCCTCCCCGACCTGTCCCGCCCCCTCAGCGGAGGCAGCCCTAACAGTGGCATGAAGCACAGCTCCTCCGCCCCTCCACCACCTCCCCCTTTCTCTCGCAGGGGCAACGCACCCCCTGCCCCGACTCAGAAGGTGGCACCACCCACCCCCTCCTACAACCGGGAGAAGCCCCTCCCTCCCACGCCAGGACAGAGGGTGCTTTCCCCGGTGCCGGTCCGCAACAGCGCCCCTCCTCCGCCCCCTTCTCCCAACAACAACCGCCGGCCCCCGACGTCAGGGGGCTCCTCGGCATCCTCCTCTTCCTCCTCTCTGGGTCCACCTCCTCCCCCGTACCGCCAGCCCATGACCAACGGCCCCTCCAGCCCGGTTAACGAAGCCGCCCCGGAGCTACCTCAGAGACACAACTCCCTCAGCAAGAACCCGTCGCCCGGACCTGGACACACTCCAACCCGTGGGCAAGCTCCACCCCCGCCGCCCTCCCCCTCCCCGCCAGGCGGACGCCCACCCCCTCCAGTCCGCGAGCCCCCCGGTAGAGGAGCAGGTATGTTCCTACTAGTGCTCTCCTTGTTCCTCTACCTGTAATGGAGCTGGGTTAGGGTCAGTTCCATTTCAAGTCCATTAAGTTCTGAAGAAGAAAAAACTAAACTAAAATGCTTTCTGCTGTTTGTGTTATGCATTGTTCAGTCACACAATTCGGTCACATTCTTGCTGTGTCTGTCACACCCCCTTACATTTTTTTATCATCTCCTCTTGTCAATCACATGTCATAATGTGAGGCAAGCGAGGAGAGATGATTATTTATAAGTGTAGAAATGTAATCAGTGTAGAAAAAGTCCTGTGGCCAAGGCGTGGCGCTACAGTCAGGAAGGTGGCGTGTCATGACAGGCCTACAGTGTGTTCCTGTTTGTCTGTATTGTGAGTGTTAGGCAGCTCTCTTTATTATTCCTTAATGACCGTTTGTCTGTACAGCTCCACCCCCGCCTGGGTCGACTCAACGAAACAGTGGTCGGGATGCCCCCCCTCCACCACCCCCCTACAGAGGTAGCCCCTCAGAGCCTCATAGCCGTGGCAAGCCCCCTCCTCCTCCCTCCCGTACCCCTGCCGGACCCCCGCCCCCTCCCCCACCTATCCGCAATGGACACACCTCCATTTCCCGCTCCTTCATAGGTGAGTCTTCTTCCCCAAACTGCATCACCTGACCTCAAATTCAGTTTCCCTCTACATTAACAACCAACTCTCATTTTGTTAGTCAATCTACTTGGGAGTCTTTTGGATTCTATAAAATGTTGCAGTCCAAGTAAGTATTGAATCTGTAAAAGAGAAGGGAAATACTGTACATCTGAGTTGGTCAAATCAATTTGAGTTGGGTAAAGGGTAAACTGACCGTATTTTTATTTAATTTGTTATATATAGTACCAGTCAAACGTTTGGACACAAGGGTTTTTCTTTATTTTCTACATTGTAGAATAATGGTGAAGACGTCAAAACTATGAAATAACACATATGGAATCATGTAGTAACCAAAAAAGTGTAAATAAATAAATAAATAAAAATAAGAACTTTTCAAGTTTCTTCAATTGCAGTCACAAAAACCATCAAGCACTATGATGAAACTGGCTCTCATGAGGACCGCTACAGGAAAGGAAGACCCAGAGTTAACTCTGCTGCAGAGGATAAGTTCATTAGTAACTGCACCTCAGATTGTAGCCCAAATAAATGCTTCAGAGTTCAAGTAACAGACACACCTCAATATCAACTGTTCAGAGGAGACTGCATGAATCAGGCCTTCATGGTTGAATTGCTGCAAAGAAACCACTACTAAAGGACTCAATAAGAAGAGGCTTGCTTGGGCCAAGAAACACGAGCAATGGACATTATACCGTGGAAATCTGTCCTTTGGTCTGATGAGTCCAAATTTGAGATTTTTGGTTCCAACTGGCGTGTCTTTGTGAGACGTAGAGTAGATGAACGGATCTCCACGTGTGGTTCCCACCATGAAGCATGGAGGAGGAGGTGTGATGGTGTGGGGGTGTTTTGCTGTGACCCTGTCTGTGATTTTAATTAGAATTCAAGGCACACTTAACCAGCATGGCTACCACAGCATTCTACACCGATACGCCATCCCATCTGGTTTGCGCTTAGTGGGACTATCATTTGTTTTTCAACAAGACAATGACCCAACACATCTCCAGGTTTGACCAAGAAGGAGAGCGATGGAGTGCTGCATCAGATGACCTGGCCTCCACAATCACCCGATCTCAACCCAATTGAGATGGTTTGGGATGAGTTGGACTGTGGCCTGAAGAAAAAGCAGCCAACAAGTGCTCAGCATATGTGGGAACTCCTTCAAGACTGTTGGAAAAGCATTCCAGGTGACTACCTCTTGAAGCTGGTTGAGAGAATGCCAAGAGTGTGCAAAGCTGTCATCAAGGCAAAGGGTGGCTATTTTGAAGAATCTAGAATTATATTTTGATTTAACACTTTCTTTGGTTACTACATGATTCTATATGTTATTTCATAGTTTTGATGTCTTTACTTTTGATGTTCTACAATGTAGAAAGTAGTAAAAATAAAGAAAAACCCTTGAATGAGTGGGTGTGTCCAATCTTTTGACCGGTACTAATATATATTTATTATACATTTTTTGTTTTGTGTGTGAAAACTGATGAATCTCTAGTGCTTCAGAGCACTTGATCCATGGCTCCTTCGGCTGGAACAATTGGATCAATACAAAAGAGGATTGAAAAACTCCAATCACTTCCCTACTGTTCTTTCTGTCCTCTCCTCCCACTTGACCGTCAATGGCCTTGACCACCACCCCTGACCTGTGTGCCTGAACTGTCATCTTCCTAACCTTCTCTCCTTACAGATGACTTTGAGTCCAAGTATTCGTTCCACTCTCTGGATGACTTCCCTGCTCCAGAGGAGTACCGGCACTTCACCAAGATCTACCCCAGCAAAGCCAACAGAGGTGAGGGCTCACTTATCAGTGTGACCAAACATATATGTGTGTGTGTGAATATATCACAAAAGTGAGTACACCCCTCACATTTTTGTAAATATTTGAGTATATCTTTTCATGTGACAACACTGAAGAAATGACACTTTGCTACAATGTAAAGTAGTGAGTGTACAGCTTGTATAACAGTGTAAATTTGCTGTCCCCTCAAAATAACACAACACACAGCCATTAATGTCTAAACCACTGGCAACAAAAGTGAGTACACCCCTAAGTCAAAATGTCCAAATTGGGCCCAAAGTGTCAATATTTTGTGTGGCCACCATCATTTTCCAGCACTGCCTTAACCTTCTTGGGCATGGAGTTCACCAGAGCTTCACAGGTTGCCACTGGAGTCCTCTTCCACTCCTCCATGACGACATCACGGAGCTGGTGGATGTTGGAGAACTTGCACTCCTTGCCCCACAGATGCTCAATTGGGTTTAGGTCTGGAGACCTGCTTGGCCAGTCCATCACCTTTACCCTCAGCTTCTTTAGCAAGGCAGTGGTCGTCTTAGAGGTGTGTTTGGGGTCGTTATCATGTTGGAATACTGCCCTGCGGCCCAGTCTCCGAAGGGAGGGGATCATGCTCTGCTTCAGTATGTCACAGTACATGTGGACATTCATGGTTCCCTCAATGAACTGTAGCTCCCCAGTGCCGGCAGCACTCATGCAGCCCCAGACCATGACACTCCCACAACCATGCTTGACTGTAGGCAAGACACACTTGTCTTTGTACTCCTCACCTGGTTGCCGCCACACACGCTTGACACCATCTGAACCAAATACGTTTATCTTGGTCTCATCAGACCACAGGACATGGTTCCAGTAATCCATGTCCTTAGTCTGCTTGTCTTCAGCAAGCTGTTTGTGGACTTTCTTGTGCATCATCTTTAGAAGAGGCTTCCTTCTGGGATGACAGCCATGCAGACCAATTTGATGCAGTGTGCGGCATATGGTCTGAGCACTGACAGGCTGACCCCCCCCCCCCCACCCCTTCAACCTCTGCAGCAATGCTGGCAGCACTCATACGTCTATTTCCTAAAGACAACCTCTGGATATGACGCTGAGCACGTGCACTCAACTTCTTTGGATGACCATGGCGAGGCCTGTTCTGAGTGGAACCTGTCCTGTTAAACCGCTGTATGGTCTTGGCCACCGTGCTGCAGCTCAGTTTCAGGATCTTGGCAATCTTCTTATAGCCCAGGCCATCTTAATGTAGAGCAACAATTCATTTTTTCAGATCCTCATAGTTCTTTACCATGAGGTGCCATGTTGAACATCCAGTGACCAGTATGAGGGAGTGTGAGAGCGATGACACCAAATTTAACACACCTGCTCCCCATTCACACCTGAGACACTAACGAGTCACATGACACCGGGGAGGGAAAATGGCTAATTGGGCCCAATTTGGACATTTTCACTTAGGGGTGTACTCACTTTTGTTGCCAGCGGTTTAGACATTAATGGCTGTATTGAGTTATTTTGAGGGGACAGCATATTTAAACTTATACAAGCGGTACACTCACTACTTTATATTGTAGAAAGTGTCATTTCTTCAGTGTTGTCACATGAAAAGATATACTCAAATATTTACAAAAATGTGAGGGGTGTACTCACTTTTGTGAGATACTGTGTGTATGTATATATATATATATATATATATATATATATATATATATATATATATACAGTGGGGAGAACAAGTATTTGATACACTGCCGATTTTGCAGGTTTTCCTACTTACAAAGCATGTAGAGTTCTGTAATTTTTATCATAGGTACACTTCAACTGTGAGACACGGAATCTAAAACGAAAATCACATTGTATGATTTTTAAGTAATTAATTTGCATTTTATTGCATGACATAAGTATTTGATACATCAGAAAAGCAGAACTTAATATTTGGTACAGAAACCTTTGTTTGCAATTACAGAGATCATACGTTTCCTGTAGGTCTTGACCAGGTTTGCACACACTGCAGCAGGGATTTTGGCCCACTCCTCCATACAGACCTTCTCCAGATCCTTCAGGTTTCGGGGCTGTCGCTGGGCAATACGGACTTTCAGCTCCCTCCAAAGATTTTCTATTGGGTTCAGGTCTGTAGACTGGCTAGGCCACTGCAGGACCTTGCGATGCTTCTTACGGAGCCACTCCTTAGTTGCCCTGGCTGTGTGTTTCGGGTCGTTGTCATGCTGGAATACCCAGCCACGACCCATCTTCAATGCTCTTACTGAGGGAAGGAGATTGTTGGCCAAGATCTCGCGATACATGGCCCTATCCATCCTCCCCTCAATATGGTGCAATCGTCCTGTCCCCTTTGCAGAAAAGCATCCCCAAAGAATGATGTTTCCACCTCCATGCTTCTTGGTTGGGATGGTGTTCTTGGGGTTGTACTCATCCTTCTTCTTCCTCCAAACACGGCGAGTGGAGTTTAGACCAAAAAGCTCTATTTTTGTCTCATCAGACCACATGACCTTCTCCCATTCCTCCTCTGGATCATCCAGATGGTCATTGGCAAACTTCAGACGGGCCTGGACATGCGCTTGCTTGAGCAGGGGGACCTTGCGTGCGCTGCAGGATTTTAATCCATGACTGCGTAGTGTGTTACTAATGGTTTTCTTTGAGACTGCTCTCTTCAGGTCATTGACCAGGTCCTGCCGTGTAGTTCTGGGCTGATCCCTCACCTTCCTCATGATCATTGATGCCCCACGAGGTGAGATCTTGCATGGAGCCCCAGACTGAGGGTGATTGACCGTCATCTTGAACTTCTTCCATTTTCGAATAATTGCGCCAACAGTTGTTGCCTTCTCACCAAGCTGCTTGCCTATTGTCCTGTAGCCCATCCCAGCCTTGTGCAGGTGTGCAGGTCTACAATTTTATCCCTGATGTCCTTACACAGCTTTCTGGTCTTGGCCATTGTGGAGAGGTTGGAGTCTGTTTGATTGAGTGTGTGGACAGGTGTCTTTTATACAGGTAACGAGTTCAAACAGGTGCAGTTAATACAGGTAATGAGTGGAGAACAGGAGGGCTTCTTAAAGAAAAACTAACAGGTCTGTGAGAGCTGGAATTCTTACTGGTTGGTAGGTGATCAAATACTTATGTCATGCAATAAAATGCGAATGAATTACTTAAAAATCATACAATGTGATTTTCTGGATTTTTGGCAGTGTATCATACTTGTTCTCCCCACTGTATATGTGTGTGTGTAATGTACACACAGATTTTCTGGTGTAGAGTACAAAAATGTTTACATGAAAGGAAAATCAATATTTTCCCATAGGCCTATAGTTTATTGTAAAAGCTTTTTGTTTTGACTGTGTTTCTTTGACAGTGATGAGGGGAGCTCCTCCTGCACCACCCGTGGGAAGGTGAACACTGTGAGACCACGTCACTTCTACTGTACAGGAGACAAGGGTTATATATATATATTACACACTGTACTTTCTCACATAGAGCCTACAGCATATAACATATACCTACATGCTTCTCATTTGACAACATTCCATTTCACTTAAACTCCATAACCATTCACTCACACGCTCACCCTTGAAAATGGCCCAGCAAGACCTGTTGGGTTTAGGGAGGATAACGGAAAGCTTGGAAAAGGAAAAATAAGAATAGACATTGTAAGCATTGCATTCCTCCTCTGAAGGAAAGGAAAGAAATGGAAGAAGTTCTACAATAAGGTCTTTATTTTTGCTATGGCAGTCTCACTCCATTTGAAGGTGGAGTTGGCAGCTTACTTATGCCATTCCCAAGCCTGTGTCCGCTTGGGTGAACTTGCCCTGTTTTTTTCACAGACGAAGGCAGACTTACCCATTGATCGTTTTTCCAGGCTCTTGTGTGTGTGGATGGGGAACACTTTGACTGTACTGGGGAACACTTTGACATTTATCTCCATACCACACACTGTTGCGATTGTCAAAATGGACATTTTTTTCCCTCCGCGTCATCAGAGTATGCTCTGTGAGAGCCCACATCACCATGAAATGGGAGAACACCAGTCAGTCCTCTACCTGTAAGAAGAAACACCAGTGACTCTACATCCTGGTTCGAAGTGTCTGAAGGTGATTGCCTTTTGTGGACCACTGCACCCCTTGCTGATGGAGGGAACTGCTACTGTTTGAAAGTTCTCTCAGGTATACGTTTGCGGGACAGAGAACTCTGTTTGCTTGAGATAATGATGATTATGTTGGAAAGGCATTATTAGATAAGAGGTTCTCTCCAAAAGTGCCAACTGAGTCGGAACTGAACTGGGAACAGCCCATATCTCCCATCCTGTTTCCCTGCTGCAAGGCTGTCGTGGTTTCTCTAATGAATGGTTGGAATGATGGACTGACAAAAACAACAGTTCCATACGTTCTCAGTGATAGTTGGCAGTAATCAACACCTGTGACGCTCTTTGGTTTGTGAAAAAGTCTTCCTATTTAGAATGATGATGCACATGTATGGGATCTTGCAGCAAGGAATCTCCCTCCCTACTCAGAATGACTAACCAGATAGATGCATGTTGTATTTTTTTCAGTTTGTCTGTCTTGACAAAATGCATGAGGGAGAGCTTGTTAGTTGTCCTAAATGCAAAGCAGACAGAAGTATTATGCCTTTAACACTAGTCGTGGTCACTGAAACCATTTCACGACAACTAACTCATACAAACACTACAACCCCATTCATTAGCTTAAAAATGACGGCGCTTTTAAAATGCATTGCATGCTACAGGATGCTGAACCAGTACATTGACACTAAAATACTCAACCTAAACCCAGGCAATAAGTCAGAAGCAGTCCAAGAGTTTATTGTTCAAAATTGATAGAATAAAATTATGTTGAGGGGTAAATAAATGTATGCTTTCAAATACAAACCTTATCATGCAGAGTTCATATTATGAACTCGGCAGGATAAGGTTTGTTGATACCCACAATAGCCACGTGGTGGCAGTATTTGATGTTTTTCCATAGGGAGACATGGTACCTATATGCTTGTGATGCAGTGCCCCTTCAATTAGTCTTTTTTTTAAAACAGTTGTGTATTATGGATTTGGCCAATGTTGAGCGAGAGGGCAGTACAGACCTGTATGTCTGTGTACCAATTTTGAGATCTTCTGCTGAGGGTTGAATGGACAAACTAATGATAACAGCCATATTGTTCAACTCATAGTTCTCTACATTCTGTATTTGAATGAAATAATCAACTTAATTTCTGTAATGTGGTCTTTACATTTCTTTGCTTAATGCTCTTGTGACCACAAGCCTGAAACAAATGCACGTTGTTACACAAGGGGGTGAACCTTTTAAGGCTGGTACCTGTAATTGGTTCCTACTGTTTGTGTTGTGTGGGGTTAGTCTTATTCCTCACTGTAAAATGGCCCTCACTGTTCTCTTTTTATTTCAACCCTTTGCTGGTCTTTTGCCTTATTATACGCATTCGCTGTAAGAGTCAATTCAGGATTTGTAAAAAAGAAAGGAAAGCTAATCATTAAATGTATACACCTCATGGCTAATACGGTAGTCATAGCTATTGTTCTACTTTCAATATGTATAAAGCTTGTAATATAGTGAATAAAACGGGGATAGATAATGGCAGGCTTTTGTCAGAAACCAGTGACAAACTGTTAGTCTTTCCATATATCTTTTTCTCTTGCCTTCTGTCACCCTTTAGATATTCCCTCTCTGTGTCACATTCAACAGGAGCAGTATGTACTCACATTGAGAGAACCTCCTTGTTCATGTCTTCTCATCCCCCATTCCATACTTAGCTTAATCCAAGCCCTGGTTCCTTCTGTACATTTCACCCTTCTGCATCAGACATGTTGTACCAATTCAATAAAAATGTCAGTGATGGGGGGGGGGGGGGGGGGAAAGAAAGTCAATGTCCTGTCTTTATCTGTTATCTGTCTAGTCCCTTGTCATCTGATATTAGTGACATTATGCAATAATGTGCCACAGTTTTTGGTTAAAGGGATAGTTCACCCAAATTACATATTGGTTTTCTTTTCTTTTAGGGGGTAGATCAACTTTAATATTGGAGATGGCTTGATGGAAGCTACAATGTAATTGTCTGCATCACTTCCAATTCCCCATATATTTCTTTGTGTGTATGTACAGTACCAGTCCAGTTTGGACACACCTACTCATTCAAGGGTTTTTCATTATTTTTTACTATTTTCTACATTTGTAGAATAATAGTGAAGACATCAAAACCATGAAATAACACATGGAATCATGTAGTAACCAAAAAAAGAGTTAAACAATATATATTTTATTTGAGTTTCTTCAAAGTAGCCACCCTCTGCCTTGATGACAGCTTTGCACACTCTTTGCATTCTCTCAACCAGCTTCATGAGATAGTCACCTGGAATGCGTTACAATTAATAGGTGTGCCTTGTTAATTTGTGGAATTTCTTTCCTTTTTAATGCATTTGAGCCAATGAGTTGTGTTGTGACAAGGTAGGGGTGGTATACAGAAGATAGCCCTATTTGGTAAAAGACCAAGTCTATTATGGCAAAACAGCTCAAATAAGCAAAGAGAAATGACAGTCTATCATTACTTTAAGACATGAAGGTCAGTCAATCTGGAAAATTTCAAGAACTTTGAACGTTTCTTCTAGTGCAGTGGCAAAAACCATCAAGCACTATGATGAAACTGGCTCTCATGAGGACCGCCACAGGAAAGCAAGACCCAGAGTTACCTCTGCTGCAAAGGATAAGTTCATTAGTTACCAGCTTCAGATATTGCAGCCCAAATAAATGCTTCACAGAGTTCAAGTAACAGACACATCTCAACATCAACTGTTCAGAGAATCAGGCCTTCATGGTCGAATTGCTGCAAAGAAACCACTACTAAAGGACACCAATAAGAAGAAGAGACTTGCTTTGGCCAAGAAACACAAGCAATGGACCGGTGGAAATTTGTCCTTTGGTCTGATGAGTCCAAATGTGAGACTTTTGGTTCCAACCGCCGTGTCTTTGGTGGTGTGGGAGTGCTTTGCTGGTGACACTGTCGTGATTTATTTAGAATTCAAGGCACACTTAACCAGCATGGCTACCACAGCATTCTGCAGCGATACGCCATCCCATCTGGTTTGTGCTTAGTGGGACTATCATTTGTTTTTCAACAGGACAATGACCCAACACACCACCAGGCTGTGTAAGGGCTATTAAACCAAGAAGGAGAGTGATAGAGTACTGCATCAGATGACCTGGCCTCCACAATCCCCCGCCCTCAACCTAATTGAGATGGTTTGGGATGAGTTGGACCGCAGAGTGAATGAAAAGCAGCCAACAAGTGCTCAGCATATGTGGGAACTCCTTCAAGACCGTTGGAAAAGCATTCCAGGTGAAGCTGGTTGAGAGAATGGCAAGCGTGTGCAAAGCTGTCGTCAAGGCAAAGGGTGGCTACTTTGAAGAATCTCAAATATAAAGTATATTTTGATTTGTTTAACACTTTTTGGTTACTACATGATTTAGATGTGTTATTTCATAGCTTTGATGTCTTCACTATTATTCTACAATATACAAGAAAAACCCTGAAATGAGTGTGTGTGTCCAAACTTTTGACTGGTAATGTATACAGTGAGGGAAAAAAGTATTTGATCCCCTGCTGATTTTGTATGTTTGCCCACTGACAAAGAAATGATCAGTCTATAATTTTAATGATAGGTTTATTTGAACAGTGAGAGACAGAATAACAACAACAAAATCCAGAAAAACGCATTTTATAAATGTATTTGCATTTTAATGAGGGAAATAAGTATTTGACCCCTCTGCAAAACATTACTTAGTTCTTGGTGGCAAAACCCTTGTTGGCAATCATAGAGGTCAGACGTTTCTTGTAGTTGGCCACCAGGTTTGCACACATCTCAGGAGGGATTTTGTCCCACTCCTCTTTGCAGATCTTCTCCAAGTCATTAAGGTTTCGAAGGCTGATGTTTGGCAACTCGAACCTTCAGCTCCCGCCACAGGTGGTCCTCTGTAGCTCAATTGGTAGAGCATGGCGCTAGTAACGCCAGGGTAGTGGGTTCGATCCCCGGGACCACCCATACGTAAAAATGTATGCACACATGACTGTAAGTCGCTTTGGATAAAAGCGTCTGCTAAATGGCATATTATTAGTATTATTATTACAGATTTTCTATGAGATTAAGGTCTGGAGACTGGCTAGGCCACTCCAGGACCTTAATGTGCTTCTTCTTGAGCCACTCCTTTGTTGCCTTGGCCATGTGTTTTGGGTCATTTTCATGCTGGAATACCCATCCACAACCCATTTTCAATGCCCTGGCTGAGGGAAGGAGGTTCTCACCCAAGATTTGACGGTACATGGCCCCGTCCATCGTCCCTTTGATGCGGTGAAGTTGTCCTGTCCCCTTAGCAGAAAAACACCCCCAAAG